CAGCATTTTTGTCTTGAAATATTGTATAAGATACATAACATATTGTATAATACGATATGCTATCATTCAAAAGTTTGGGGCTGGTAAGATTTTTTTATGTTTTTGAAAGAAGTCTTTTATATTCATCAAGGCTTCAAGCATGATCAAAAATACAGTAAAAAATAGCAATATTATGAAATATTTTTTTTATTTTAAATTACTTTTCTATTTTAATACATTTTAAACTTTACTTTAAACTTTACTGACCCCAAACGTTTGAACATTAGTCAATTTACATACAAGTAGGCCTAATTGCATTTAAAAAAATTTATTATTTTTATTTATATGCATTTCATAATTTATTTATAATAATTTGTAAAAAAAAAAATGGGTGAACTATCCCTTTAAGAATATTGGTTAATCAAAATGAGAAGAATCAATTAATATCAAGAAATCTATATTTTCAGCCTAGCCCTAATGCACAACACAACAACTTTATTGAAAATACAACCAGCCAAAAAAAACCTAATTTAAAATTTTTCTTTGCCCATTTTTTAAAAGGCCACGGTACGTTAAAAAATGATTCAAACTTCAATCAACATCGTTTTCCAACTCATAACAATTTCTTGAACCTCTTGAACATTCTCAACACAGATTATTAATCATTGGCTCTGATCGTCATGCGATGGTTGTCTTCCTCTGACATTTCCTTGTGTGGCCTTGCTTGTGTCCATCCTGCTGAGTCGCTCATCTATGCTTGCTAATCCAACATGCGTGACAGCTGACCGCTGATGCTAACAATAGCGAGACAGCACAGACAGCCCGTTCTAAAGACTGTCAAATGATAAATTACCCTCTTCAGTCACTCTAACCGAGAGCCAGTTAGGTCACACAAACAGCTTGACGTGACATTTTTCCAGTACTGTATATGCAAACTGCTGCCAATCAATTAACAGCTTGCCTTTCTTTCCCCCTCAACCGCATATTGGGATTGAGGGAAATTGACTGCAGAGGGGAAGTCAACACAAAAGTCTCCTGGAGTCCAGGGTCGCAGGGAGGGACTGAACAAATAAATGTGGCTGTGAAAATGAACCTGAAAAACAGCTTTAGTTCATAATGTCAGTCGTCCTTACTGTGAATCTCTCAAAACATGTAAATCAACAATCAGCTAGAACACTGCAAATATGTATATTTTTAATCAGCATTTTTGTCTTGAAATATTGTATAAGATACATAACATATTGTATAATACGATATGCTATCATTCAAAAGTTTGGGGCTGGTAAGATTTTTTTATGTTTTTGAAAGAAGTCTTTTATATTCATCAAGGCTTCAAGCATGATCAAAAATACAGTAAAAAATAGCAATATTATGAAATATTTTTTTTATTTTAAATTACTTTTCTATTTTAATACATTTTAAACTTTACTTTAAACTTTACTGACCCCAAACGTTTGAACATTAGTCAATTTACATACAAGTAGGCCTAATTGCATTTAAAAAAAAATATTATTTTTATTTATATGCATTTCATAAATTATTTATAATAATTTGTAAAAAAATATATATATATATATTAAATTCATTGTAAAAAATATTTACCATTGTACTAAGAAAAATAAACAATTCACGATTATGTTTGAAATCAAGTCTTAATATCCAATGCTATTTAAGTAAATTGGTCATATTTTAAGGACATTTCAATATTTTGTACTAGAAAAAGATCAAAATACTGCGAACATTTTGCAGTGAACCTTCAGAAATCCATGTCTTATAAACCCTTAGGGATTTTTTTAAGACCTCATTTTCTAAAGTCTTATTAATCTCCCCTCTGCTAGAGAAATCATTAATGTCTATTCATTATTTTATAATAATATATCAAGATTAATATGAACGATGAAGTGGCAAAACCCACCAGTGGTCATTTTGCACTGGTGCTGGTCTTTGGCCTTGCAGCAGCTGTTTTCTAATTAAAGCTGCTTCACTTGAGTGGTTTATATTTATATTTTATTGGGACCTTTCGCCTCTCATGATATGCACAGAGTGCAAATCAACCCCTGGGCATATCATTTATAAACATTTTTTAATTGCCTCATTTACCGGTATATCTAAAAGGCGAAATTTATAATAGCTTGCTGCAAAGGGTACTGTATTGGGAAATGTAAACCATAAGCACTTCAAGATATTTGTATCACTCTGAATTCAGATGTAAAGACATCAAAATGTAAATAGATTTCTATTCACTGACAGCAGAAGACAGGAGATTGCACAATTATGAGTGTTCAGACACCAAAAATGCTTTTAAACCTGTGGCACATTTCTGTTTCATGCAAAATACTAATGCACTTTGAGGTAAAGCAGTGAAAAAAACTGAAAAAAATCTTTGGAAAACAAAAAAGATGACACTGCCTCGCTCATTTGCACAGTAACAGACTCTAGCTTTTAAACTGTCATGTCTGGCATGCCCTGATATGAGAAAGAAAAGCAAAAATGCTTTGTGAATGTCTACGTACAACGTTTCCCAAAGCTAACAACAAACCGCTTTCATGTTGTCTTCAGACGGTCTTCAGACAGAACAGTTAGCGAGGTTTGAACCGAATGCTGTTTAACCCCTCAGAAGACAGATTAGCCCCGAGACAGTCCATTCATCATTCTTCTTATTCGTCATGCAATCCCATAAGGACCACAACACAGGCACCTTCTGGAACAGCAATAGTCCTTGGGAGTGTTTTTACAAGTTTGGATTCCCAGCCGTGCATTTTACAGCTATTGCAGCGAAAGATCTGATGCGTATCTGCTCCCCTCCATAAAAGCTTGTAGCGTGAATAACTGGCTTTGATTTGATTGAAAGAATAACATTTATATTGAAAGCATATCACTTCCCACTAAGATTAATCAAGAGTGCTGTCATACATATAAAGAAAGTAGCACATACATACATGTAGTGTTGGGCCAACTACTCAAAAATGTAGTCAGACACTACTGTACGCTACAGAAAATTTGTCAGACTAACAACAGGATGCATGAAACTATGGTTACAAATGATTGTATATATCCTGTTACTGTTTTACAAAGACTTATTAACTCAGGAAGCTCTCCAAACGATTCAGTGTGTGAGTCATTTAAATGATTCAGACTCAACTGCAAACAATTTCAAAATGTTCTGTTAAGCTATTTGACTAAGACATTGAAAAGAACAACTCAAAATAGTGATTAATCCATGAATTGTGTATTGCAAGTTCAGATTTTCAACTGAAAAACCAATACGAAACATTCTGCTAAAACATTTGACCAATTCATTGAAAAGAAATTGCTCAAAATACAAATGGCTCTTTTTTACAAACCAAGTATTGTGAGTTTAGATTCTACACCAAATTGCAAACTGATTCAGAACATTTTGTTAATCTATTTTAGCAAATCATTGAAAGAACCAACTCAAAATAGTGATTCCTTCACAAATCAAGTGTCACTAAATCGATCAAATGGGTTAGCAAACTGTTCTGAATTGGTGTGCAATTCAATTCATTGAAAAGAACCAACTCAAAGTAGTGATTCATTAATTAATTGAGTATGGGTAATTCTAATTCTAAACTGAACTGCAAATCGATTCAGAACACCTTGCTAACCCTTTTGAGCAATGTAGTGAAAAGAACCGACTCAAATAGTGATTCATTCGTGATTAAAGACACTAGATCAGATTCTAAATTGGTTAACAAATCTAAATTGGTTTACAATTCAATTCACTGAAAAGAGCCAACTCAAAAGAGTGATTCATTTATGAATCGAGTACCTCTAGTTCTGATTCTAAACTGAATTGCAAACTGATCCGACACACCTTGCTAATTCATTTGACTAATTCATTAAAAAGAACTAACTCAAAATAGTGGTTCATTCACAATTAAAGAATCACTCGTTCAGATTCTAAACATACCACACACGCTTGATTGCTGAAATACTGTCAGGGAAAATGTGTTTTCTGCCACACTACTAAATAAAACCGATTAACTACTAAAATACTACAATTTAAGAAACTAGCAATGCTACTTACTCGCTATTGAGAAATGTAGTTAAACTAACAGCTTCGCCATTTGTAGTGACACTACTAACACTGTAACTTCAACCCAGAAGTAGAGCTACCGAGAAATGTTCTTCCATTCATCCGTGCTGTATTTTCCCAAAGGATGAATCAAAGGACGTTGAGCTCTGAAATCAAAGTTGGAGCTTAATCAGCTGGTTGCTTTGCTGGCTCATTATCAGTGAACACCTGCCTTTCATGCCATTTATCAACTGCCTGTCAATATATAGATTAGAGTATCCATTTCACTGTCAAAACTGACTATTCATCACAGCTGTACACTGTCCGGTTGTAAATTTCTCTTCGACCTCTGTGGATAAACACAATCTTCTGACTGCAAAAAAAAGTGAATATAAACAGACAATGACGCTAAACAGAATGAGCGCCGTGATAAATCAGATATTGTGAAATATCAATTTTGCACATGGCTGCACACGAGCACACTTCCATATTTTCCCAATGCTCCTTGTCATATTCCCAAGCCATTAGTTTAATTCATGACATTGTAGAAGGAGGAGGTTTACTATTGGGTTCATAAACAGACAGTGAATCCAATTTTACAAACTCAAACATGTCATGCGGTATTTCAAGTAGTTTCAGAGCTGGACGATATTGTTGTATATAATCCAATATTGAACAAGAGATTAGTTGGACAATTTTATAGTATCTACGGTCCCGACATTTTTTTTATAGAGCTCTTATTACAACAGGCAGAATAAAGTACCTTGTTCTTAATTAGAGTCTTGAAGTCCCAAATCGTCTTGCTATTCTTCTTTTGTTTCAGAGTTTTTTTGATTCATTCCTTCCTTCAGCACCAGGACGCTCAGAAATGCATATTAAGCAAGCTTTCCTGAAACAATTGATACAAGAAAATGTTAAACCGAAGACAAATGTGGTTGGAGTCGGTTCATCTATCTCTTTCCCACTCAGATCTCATTGTTTTAACCTGGTGGAATCCCACTTCGCCCTTCAGTGAGCCCCACAAATCATCCTGGGACATGGAACTGGGGGACAGAACAAAATGGGCATCAAAGTTAGTAGACTTTAGGAAAGAAAAAGAACAAAGAGAAAAAAAAAACAAGAGCAATAAAAGTCTTCTGGCACAGACATCACATCCCACTAGTGCCGATCACAAAAAGGGCTTTTCACACACTCTTAACCCTCGAATAGTCTTTTTAAACCCCCCTTTTAACCCTAGGTTAATCAATGTTTCACACTTGACATTTTGAAATTGTGGATATAAAGGGAGTCTATGGTAGATACCTGTATCATTCGTTTTAATGGAGCGAAGATCAATGCTGATTGGTCAACAGCCTCTAAACATGTCATTTTGATTTCTGCTCTGATGATTTTCATTGAGCATTAGACTTTTAGTCTATATTTGTTCGGATGATTGGGTGATTGAGCTCTTAAATCAGGGGTGTCCAAACTTTTTTTAAAGGGGGCCAGATTTCATGATGTGGACAACCCGGGGGACCGGATGCTTCTCTCTCTCTCTCTCTCGCTCTATATATATATACATGACAGTAGCTTGAGTTGACAGTAGCTTGAGTTGTGTATGTAAAAATCTGTAAATATTTTAACAACCTCATTTTTAAAGGGGAACATTTTTATAATTATAATATCTAGAATGGAGTTATGTTTTTTTTATAAAAAAATTTTTGTATGAATATCCTACATTTCTGCCACAATAGCTACTACAGTTACAGTTAGTGTTACTACAGTAAATCGATTGGAAATGTTGGTGATTTATGGATTGAAAAGTATTCTAACTGGATTGTTGTCGCACAATGTTTCTCCTGTTTTTCGGTCACGTGATCGAGGTCAGTCAGCAAGTAAATGCATTTGCTCTGAGCTCGTGCTGTGCTGTCTTTAGGCAGAGCTAATAATGGTCCGTGCAGCGCGCTTCACACAAGTACAGGTTTGGGTGGGTTTAGGAATTCTTGTGTGCTAAAGAAATGGCAGCGCATATGAGCTATCAAATTGTTACCACTTGTGTTTTACTGCTACATCTGGCCTAAAATTTGGTGCTGTCACCTTGTGTTGACGTTGTGAAACTGCATTATTTGTAAATTATTCTTGCCGGGCCACATATAATAAATTTTAATAGACAAGCTGCGGGCTTTTTGAAATTCATCCACAGGCCTCATTTGGCCCGCGGGCCGGACCTTGGACACCCCTGTGTAGGGTTTTTCAACTCAAAAAGGGAAATATTTATGACTAATTATAACTGGTTATGATTAATAATAAATATCTTAAATAGATGGGACTTTGCAACAAACAGCCAATGGTCAATTATTTAAAGCGATAGTTCACCAAAAAATGAAAATTCTGTCAATTCCTTAACCTCAAGTTGCTCCAAACCTGAATGACTTGCTTTCTTTGAGTTCACGCTGACAGAATTTCCCCTAAACTTTAAGTAATTTTACTGTTAAGTAAAGCTCTTTTGAAAACACTGCAGACACTAAAATAAAAATAGATCTGAGCACACATTTTGAGATTGATAAGGTGACATCTGTGCTTTCCCACTCTAGAGAAGTCCCAGTCGCCATTGCAGACAACCAATCATAAACTGCCTCAGTGCTCGCCTCATTAAGTATTCATGGACTTTGTACAGTCGCAAAAACTTTTAGTTTCAGCGCCTGAGTTAAAACTGATTTGTTGAAGTGGTAACGAGAGTGATAAACTGCTATTTTGCCCGTATATTTTAGAAAACTTAATGGATATTTCTTAATGGATATTTTGTCAAAAAATGGATGTCAAAAGTAAGACTTGCACAAAAGATATTTTCAAGAACATTGGGGTCACATTTACTTTCATTGTGACATTTTTCAAAATGTTTTGTGTGTTTCAAGAAAGTAATACATGTTTAAAATACATAAGGGTGAGTAAATTAAGACAGAAAATTTGTTGAAGTGGTAACGAGAGTGATAAACTGCTATTTTGCCCGTATATTTTAGAAAACTTAATGGATATTTCTTAATGGATATTTTGTCAAAAATGGATGTCAAAAGTAAGACTTGCACAAAAGATATTTTCAAGAACATTGGGGTCACATTTACTTTCATTGTGACATTTTTCAAAATGTTTTGTGTGTTTCAAGAAAGTAATACATGTTTAAAATACATAAGGGTGAGTAAATTAAGACAGAAATTTCACTTTTTGATAGATAAAAACAACTTCAATTAACATAGTAACACTTTCACTCATGGACAGTTATTTAAACCTACTGCATGGTCATACACATTGCTATATTTGTCAAATCAAATGTTAATAACCTCATAAATATGCAAATCAAAACATTGACTAAGGGTTTACCCATGTATAATTGTGAAATCTTGAAACCAGAAAACATTATTGCAATGTACAATCTTGAAACCAGAAAACATCAACCCGGGGTTTACCAATGTACAATGTGAAATCTTGAAGCCTAATTGAAACAAGATTTCAAGTGTGAAAGGCCCAATAGTGAGTTGCAGATGGGATGCATTTGCATCTTGAGGCTAAATAAGTGTTTTTTCACTTCCTCCCATTGTCTGCTCAGTTCCTCTGTTTCTAGAGCCTGTCAAATCATATCAGCTTTCTCAGCCTCACCAGTCCACGCATCTGTTTACTGGTATATAATAAGCACATAATCAAACGCCACAGTTAAGTGAGCGCTGAGTGCTGTCAGAGCACATTGAGGGTGCATTTATTCAACGCTCTCAGTGTTGGCAGTTGCTTTGAGAAGGGCAACAGTAGAAGCAAGTGCTAATAAGCATTTGACATCAAGGTTACAGATATGCACCCTGTCGAGCAACAGCGGGCCTGTCTCACACTCTCTGGGGACTTAGTGTGACACTATTTTGTACTTTATAACATGCACAAACTAATTCAACTTTAATAAATACAGAAATGAGAGATGGGAAGATATAACAAAACACTTTAATGTGCTGAACAAGGCAATTATGAAAGCATGAGATGCATGTGGATTCTCTAACATCCTTTTTGATTAATAATTTCAAGGTTGAAGACATCCCTGTGTGTTGTTTTGAAACACTTATGCAAATGCTAAATTGTAAGCAGGCACATTTTTATCACATATTTACTAAACATTCAGGATGTCAAAAGAGGTTGCATTTAAGTAGGAAATACGCGAGCAAATCACAGGAAAGTGATCCCTGGAGATTTAAACCTGAAAATAATGATGCATTTATTTAAACAAAAGCTACACATATCTATTCAGCCACTGGCATCTCTAGCACTGTTTTCCTCTGATTCACATCTTATCTCAATGACAGGCAGCAGTTTGTTCCTTTTCAGAGACATAAATCGTCCACTGCTGCTGATAGGCAGGGCATCCCCCAGGGATCTATCCAGGGCCCTCTACTCATTTTAATCTACATGCCTCCCGTTGGACGAATAATGCAACATTATTGGTCCATTTCTATTACTGTGTCAAAGACACACAAATCTATATTAGTTCCCATCACCACAGTCCTCCACCCCCTCATTAAGTACCTTTATCTGTAAGTCAAAGCTGATTCTAACTGGATGTTCACAATCTCATAAAAGATAAAACTGATATCTCATTAAACAGTCACAAAGCTTTTGTCCTTAGTGATCCTGGTCTTTCTGTAGGAGGTACTGATGTGAAACAAAAGTCTGTTCAAACTGTACTTAGCATTAGTTTGCTGACTGAAGAATCAGAGTAGAAATAAAATTAAATAAAACTATATATCCAAAGATTTATTCATCTGTCGCAAATAATGCCATTATTATGTTCATTCAGGGGTTATTTTAATTTTCAAGTACTGATGCAATAAATTGTATTAAGAAATTAAAACTTAATTGTACTAACAACAACAAGGTTGAAGATTTCCAGGGAAAACATGGACTTAAAAAATAATAATAATAATAATAAAATGTATATTCCAAATGTATTGTTGCTGTGGATAAAAACTGTCTGCCAAGTGCATAAATGTAAATTAATTAAATTAATTTATCAGCAAATAATGTATATGATCTACATAATTTATACACACTACAATTCAATACATTGAGGCCAGTAAGATTTTTTTAATTATTTTTATTTACACAATAAACTGATCACAAGTGACAGTAAAGACCTTTATAATGCTACAAAACATTTCTATTTCTTCTGAACTTTCTATGCATTAAATAATCCTGAAGAAAATGTATTTCCACAGTCATATAAAGCAAAACCGGTTTTCAACATTATTACTAATAAGAAATGTTTCTTAAGCAGCAAATCAGCATATTAGAATGATTTCTGAAGGATCATGTGACACTGAAGACTGGAGTAATGGCTGCTGACAAATTCATCTTATATTTTAAAATATATTCAAATAAAAAGTTATTTTAAATTGTAATATTTCAAAAATATTACTGTTTTTACAGTATTTTTGACCCATTAAATGTACCCTTGGTGAGTAAAAAAAACTACTTTCAAAAATATTAAACAATCTTACCAAGCCCAAACTTAACTATACACATTTAATTGTATTAATATAATTTTTGTTGCAGGGTTCATGCATATGGATATATGGATGTATAAGGATAAAACATGCCATTCTTGTATAGGACACGTGGCAACATTATGGAATATTCACAAGCTCCTTTCAAAACTGACTCTTGAGAATGAAGAAAAAAAAAAAGAGAGAGAAAATTGTGAAAGGCTTGTGGGCTTCTTTTTGCTGACCAAAGCAGGACTTTGACTTTTACAAATGCAGTTCCATGGCACTCTTTTCGCTTCATTCCAGCTTAATATTAACAACCTCAGGGCTGGCCAAACAGCAATTATCGAGCTTGTGTTACTGTGTGTATGCATATGTGCATGTGTATGTGAGTGTGTGTGTACCCAGAAAGGACAAACTCTTTGAAGACATCCCACTGTTCAGAGAAGCATAATACAACATATAGCTACATCATCAACAAAAGCAGTAATCCACTGTCACACAGAAAGGAGCACAGAGTCCATAGTCTTTTTGATTGGACAAGCAAGCCCCATTCAAAGAGTGGGAAATGAGAATGAGAGGCTTTGTTACTTTACTGAAAATGGCCCCAGTGCATCCAAGAAAAAAAAATGCTTAGGAAGGTTTCTATTTTGGCATACAATGAGCAAGGCTGAAGGATAAATTATCACCATACTATCCATTCGCACACAAGAGGTGGCAGAGAATTATGATGCCTTAGAAACTCTGGAATCATAAAGGGTTTTGTGTCTGAAGAACTTCTCAAATTCAAAGGCCGCCTATATGAAACACTTATAATATTATGGGTTCACAGAAAAGGTCACACATATTATGTCTTGTGGCTATGAAACAATTAGTATTTTAACATTTACAGATTGGCCCCATTCACTTCCATTGTAAGTACCTCACTGTAACCCTTTTTTTAAGAAAAGAAAGAACAAGTTTGAGCTTAACTTGTATTGAACCTGGAATATTCATTTAACTGAGAACTGACAGAGAAATAAAAAATTTAAGGGTTTACATTAGACCTACACATTTTCAGCATCATTACTCAAGTCTTCAGAAATTCCTTCAGAAATCATTCTAATATGCTGATTTGCTGCTCAAGAAACATTTCTTATTATTATTAACATTGAAAACAGCTTAATATTTTTGTGGAAACCATGATACATTTTTTCCAGGATTCTTTGATGAACCGAAAGTTCAAAAGAACAGCATTTATTTGAAATTCTATTTGAAATTCTGCAACATTATAAATGTCTTTACTGTCACTTTTGGTCAATTTAATGCATCCTTCCTAAATAAAAGTATTAATTTTCAAATTAAACTAAATTTAAAAAAATGTACTGACCCCAAACTTTTGGACTGTAGTGTATAAAAAAAGGGCTAAAATAAATAAATCAATCAATAAAACTGAGGGGGGCACCCTTTGTTTGAATTAACATGAACTTCTGATTCGACCTGTTATGAAGTATGACCCAGAAGCCTTTTTAATGTCATGCTACTATCTTGCCTCTCTGAGGGGTTGCTGGCCCCCAACCCCTCTCAGAGCTGAAATCAGCACTCCGCCGCACACGGGGCACTGACCCACCAGCCGGGATTTTAAATGAATCGGAGGATAGGACATAGGAGCAGCACCTGCCCAGATGGCAGGGTGCACAGGTCCCGAGCAGAGATACAACATGGGCTTACCTGCGAGTTCGACCTGGATGGACGCCACAGACAGACCCCTGGGACAAAAGAGAGGAAAGGAATGCTGAGATCCAGTCTGTTGGCCGTGACTTCCATACCTCGAGAGTTCATGCCTGGTGGGAAAGGGTTAGGGATGACATTTGCCTCACGAACCTTTGGATTATTCAAGGCTAGTCCACTACGGTGCACATTTGAAAAATTATTTCAGTTATCCCTATGAATGTACTCGATTTATAACTCTTATTTATAACTGAAAGGTAACTGCTGTGTATATTAAAAGAATAATGCTGATTACCACATACCGGTAATTAATTTCCATGTGAATCTCCACTTATTTATAAAAAGCAAAATTGAAAAGAGTTCCATTGAGGCATTTACAATGGAAGTGAACGGAGACAATGTGTAAAAATTAAAATACGCACTTTCATTTTTAGTCCACGTTACTATGACTTTTTACAATAACAATATAATTGTATTATTATGATATTACTGTTGTTGTTTACTACTACTATTAATGCTAATAATTAACCTTACCATAAAACTTGCTAACTTTAATATTTACAATAACAATAATAGTTTCTATGGATATGATTAATTATTATTGATTATTATTATTGGTTATTATTAATAATAATAAATTGTTATTATTATTATTATTATTTTCATATCCACAGTTTATCCAAAGTTGACATTAATACGATTTTAGTGTGGGAAAAAAATCACTTACTGACCTTTTCTATATGAGGTTATGTCCAATTTTACATTGTTGCCATGGCAATGAAACACTGTGAACCCTAAAACCACTGAAAAAAAGACAGAGAGAGTTTCAAACAGCTTTACAACTTAAATAATACAAAAGTTTTAACAGAAAAATTTATGGGCTTTCACAAAATTATACACTTCGCATTTAATTTATTTTAATAATTTAATTTAATAATTTATGCATTTAGCAGACGCTTTTTACGCTAAGAAGAAGCCCCATTCACTTCTACTGTAAATGCCTCAACATAACTTCGATTTCTGTTTTTTTTGTTTTTTTTTAAGAAAACAAGGGAACTATTTTTTTTGTGATAATCAGCTTGTATGAATATTCCCTTAAGCTTGCAACACAAATGAACACTGCACAAAGTGAAAAGTGTCTTTAAGGAGAAAATTACTTTTATTGGCGTGACCTAATGCAGCCGGGTTGATTTAAACTATTAAATATTATTATTATTATTATTTATTTAATTTTTTTTACAAATTAGAGACATATTAGACACAGTCTAAACCAGTCAATTTACATGCTATCAGATTTTTGGGGTTTACAATCATTTTTACAGCGATACAAAACTGCAGAAACATTCAGAAAACATTCTGCATTTCATTTTTCATAATAACTGGCTTCTTGCAAAAAAGATGCAAACCGTACCCTGAAATACGAATTATAAAATGCAAATGTGTCCCGTACGGCTTGAAATATGTATGCCTCTGCGCTTACAAGGGACTTGGGCTTTAAAAGCACTCAATGTAGGTCCCTCACAGCAGCGGCTGCTCTCTCTGTCCTTCACATTTCACTGGTCAGTGCCCAGTAATCAACACACATTACCCTCACAGAGCCCAAGCTTAATTACCAATCACACACAGACCCACAAACACTCCAGCTCTTCCATATTCCGCCTGCCACTTACCTTTCTCCCCATTATTTAAATTCAAGATTATGAATGACTGACACGAGTATGTAAATGTGTTTTGTTTTTGAGATTATGTGCAGTGGTTGATATGCTGATGAGGAACGGTAACTGCCTCTCGAGAGTGAGTGACATTCCCCTGCACAGTATGAGACCCTCTCCTGGATTCTTCTCATCAGGTATCCTGCGGAGAATAGTTTACTTCTTAACAACAAAAGAAAAACTGTTTACGGCATTCGCCCGACGGTAGAGATTTGACTTTGCCATACCGCGTCTGATTGGTGCCAGACTTTGGAAGAGCTGCCTAATATATGAAATTTTCTTTAGGTAAGTTCACCTCCTAAAAATGTATATTCTGTTACCATTTAATCACCCTCAGGGTTTTCATGTTTCACTATAAATAGTAATAATAATAAATTAAATATTAAAGTTAGGTTTTATGGTTCTGGTTTTATTATTAACAACACCAATAACAGCAATAATATTATCATCATCAACAATAATAATAACAATAAAGTAAATATTAAAGTTACCAAATTGTATGGTTACGGTTAATTATTACAATGCTGATTATTATTATTGTTAATAATAAAATTAGCAAGTTTAATGGTAAGGTGTATTATTATTATTAATAATAATTATAACAATTATTATACGTAATTATTATTTATAATTAATATTAACAACAACAACAATAAAGTATACATTATTACTATTAATAATAATAAAAATATATTATATTAATAATATTATAATAATATATTATTATTATTAATTGTTGTTGTTGTTGTTAATAATCATTATTATTATTATTAATATTATTATTGTTATTCATTTTTTAAATAACAGCAATAATATTGATAAAAAAATAAAGTAAATAAAAATGAAATAATTATCTCACACATTTAGCTTCTTGTTTTAATGATGTGGAAAACAAGACTGATTAACAAAAAATTACTTTTGCAGCATTAAATAGAACATATAAAGTGAATTTTAATAGTATTCGGGACGCTCTTTTCCATATAATGACAGTGAATGGGGACTAGGGTGAGAACAAATTCATTATACAAAAGTAAGTGTCAGAATATTCCTCAATGATACACCTTTTTGTTCCACAGAAAAAAGAAATTCAAATAAGTTTGGAACAACATGAAGGTGTGCAAGTGATCTTTCTTTTTTTGGGTACACTATTACTTTAAGATATTATTGAAACACATCTTCTTTTGGAAACATTTAGAAGAAAACGTTATGTAAAACCCCCAAATGTGCCTCATTTCGTTTTGCACATCCAGCCATCCATGAAACCATCCATTCATCCATACTCACATATCCATCAAACCATCAGTTCGTTCTAGCAACTTTTCTCTACAAGCGTTTCATATTTGAACAAAAATGATCACAGCAGGGGCAGTGGAGCAGGAAATCAGGTGAGGGGAAACAGGAAGTTGCAGGTGTGACACGGGTCCCGTGGAGCCCCATCTAAGCAGGAAGTGATATTGAGTAAGAGCAGATGGATCTGATACGATTACAGCTTGTAGTTGGAAAAGCCATCTGTTCTGGTGACTGTTTATAGCCGTGAACTAAGACTGTGAAGCAATATCCAACAGGCACAGAAGAGCGAGAAGGAACACAGTTGCAGGAGAAGTTTCAATAATGGCCCTGAGAGATATTTAAATAACAAATGCAATATGTTCATGTCGGTTCCTGCGGTCTTGTGTATTCACTATTGGAGTTTTTTTTTTTTTTTTTAATTCAGAAGTTAAATTACCATACACACCAATTAAAGTTTCTCATTCCATATCCCTGTGAAAGTTTCACACTCAGGTCAAGTTTTAAGAGGTGCACACATTCATGTCCTTTGAAACCCGTATGACTGAGGAACACAAAATGAGTGAAATATTATGCATTGTGCATACCCAATGAAAAAATCTATTTATTTAAATCTGTCCACTGGTGAAATCAGGCATTAAGGAGACTAGCAAATATTCATCTTATTATACATTATATTCAGTACTGCACATAGTAGTTTAATATTATTATTAAACCTCTATAAATTTTCGTTTTGTCCCACACACTTAACAAATATAAACAAGGCTTTGGATCACTTGATTTTGCATTAAATTCTGCAGAATCACAAAATCCTGGAGTGAATGACTATCTTAGGGAATGTTGACTTAAATTATGTTTCTCATACAAAAACAAGGTTTCAGAAGAATTGAAATATCATACAAAGGCAATATGAACCACTATTATGATAATTTTATAGTGCTTTTAACAGAAGCTTGACAGAACCAATCCCCAATCCACTTTCAGTAAGCATCAAAATGTATCATGACTTCCACAAAAATATTAAGCAGCACAACTGTTTTCAACATTGATGATAAAAAATGTTTCTTGAGAAGCAAATCATCATATCAGTATGATTTCTGAAGGATCATGTGACATTGAAGACTGGAGTAATGATGCTGAAAATTCACAAGAATAAATTACATTATAAAATATATTCAAATAGAAAACAGTTATTTTAAATTGTAATATAATTTCACAGTATTACAGTTTTTATAGTATTCTTGATCAAATAAAAGCAATGTCGATTTGCAAAAGAGAAATTGAAAAATCTTTCTGGCCTGAACTTTTTGAATAATAGTGTATGTTTTTAAAAGACATTGTTTTCTTTTGTCTACTGTGGGCACTCATATTTGTCACTGACCTTTCTAAAGTAGAACCGAAGTCTGACCCAATTCACTTTCATTATTTGGACGGGAGCAGCTTGGACATTCTGCTAAACGTCTCTTTTTGTGTTCCACTGAAGAATGTAAAACATACAGGAGCATGAGTAAATCATTATGAAATTCTCATCTTGGGGGGCTTAACTATCCCTTTATGTTTTAGTAAACAGCATCTGCTAGCTCAGGGAAGCTACTGTCTCTCACTCATTTGGACTGATCTCAGTCTCTCAAAACTAATAGAGCTCAGCAGTGTCTGGTAATGAAAGCACAGGTGCCTTTGACTGTCCACCAGCATCCCGAGACATTTGCTCAGAGAAAAGAAAGAGAGCGCGAGTGAAAGTGGTGCAGTACGCTTCTAATTCCCTCAACTGCGTGCCTCCACATTAGTCATTCTTGTCTTGGCGCCTCAATTAGTGGCATGTATGTTAGATGTTTTCTCACTTTCAGCCCTCTGCCTATGCTTAATTGCCCACCTAGGTCACTGTTCAGAAATTAGTTATCGTTCGGCTACGGTGTCAGGCCGGGGTGTGAATGGCTTCTGAGACTTAATGAAAGGTAATGATAAGATAAATTATCTCCTAAATATTCATCAGGGTTTTGTATTGATGTGTGGAATGTGTAAAATGGAGGAACCCGCAAAGCTGCTCCATTCATTTAAGCTGCTAAATAGCACACTGGAATATACATCCACTGTATGGAAAAGAGCAGCGCTAACATTCTGTTAAACATCACAATTTGTGTTCTGCATCAATGATGTGATGCTCATCCTATTCATTTATTCAAAAATACATTATAAATGCAATTCATAGATAAAATGCTTTAAATACACCTCTTATATGATATTTTTAATTTTTATATTTGTTGAGAATATACTGTCAGGATGACATGACACAGTCTGCCATAAGCTTTTATTATTATTTCTTAGAAAGAAGAATATTTATATACAAAACCAAATTCACCATAAAGGCCTATGAATATTTACAAATCTTTTGCCAGCCAAAGTAATGTACAAAATGATGTGGTGCAACCAACAAGCAGAAAAACAATTAAATCAAGAAATAATATCATACTTTCATAACTGTATGTCAAAGTCAATAAGCCTCCTAAAATATTATAATTTGACCTTTTTATAGACAAAATTAGTTCAGGTTGCAAAATATCATGTGGTAGAATCCCCCAAAACAATTATATTTATGAATGAATGAATTATATTTGTTCTATTTAATTATTAAATTTAATATCTATTTATAAATGTATATAATGTGTAAATGTATACAGTACATTATTAAAATGTACTGTATACATTTACACACTTCCAATGTGTAAGGAAAATTATACTTAATAATACGTTTTACTTGGTTACACCGCATGACATTTAAAAAAAAAAAAAAAAGTTAC